AATTATTTGTCGCACTTCACTACACACAGATGCACTTCGAACTAAACGGACGATACGGACGAAATAAATGGACGAAAAAATAATATCACTTGCGAATGCATTCGGCACTTTCGAGCATCCCGTTCGATCACGTTCGATATCGCATTCGCGAATAAAAACACGAACAAAATATCTGGTGAAAAAATATAATTTTTTGATTCCGGGAAAGCGAGCGTCCGAATATTAATCACATTAAACGCATCGAAATGCCCTTAAATTCACTCGTGATGTCTATAGATGTGTACGCGACATCTCCTCGCGCGCCGCGTCGTTTCGCGACACCCATAGAGGTATACCGCGACATCTCCCGTCGCGCCGCGTTATTTCGTGGTATCGCGAAGGAACTGAAGTCTCACTCAGGGGAAGTAACACTTGCGCGCCACGACCGTTACGCGGAAGCGTCACGAAAGCTCAAGCGAGTGAGGGGCCCCTCACACAGCTTGCCATTCCCCGAATTCACGATGTTCCGCGACTCCTGGGGCCCCGTCGACGCCGGGATACCCTTTGAAACGATTAGGAATCCTCGCGAGGCTCTCGGGGAGCAAGTAGCGTCGAATAATGCGCGAAAATGACGGCGGAATAGTCTCGAGCGAGAACCTCCATCCCCTTCCCACCAATCACCGATTCGCGATGTTCCGAGGTCCCCATCAACGCCCGGATGCTCTTCGAGCATATATTCGGTCCACCACGTCGAAACACGACACTCCCGGACACTCCCGGACACTCCCGGACTTGCACTCCCGTTTATTCCCGCACGAAATCCAAACGAGACGCGGAGCATTCGCGACGCACCTCTACTCCGCCGCCGTTGGATTCGCACTGACTGGTGGCGGCGCTGGCTCAAGTTCGTGACGTCGGACGCCACTTATCGGCCGATTTCATGTATTAATACGCGCGGGAATTTTCCACGCGTAAATAATAAATAATATATAATCAGCAAATGTACATAATTTTAATTCGCCGAATATCAATTATGTACATAATTTTATTATGAGGGAGTATATAATTTTAATTCCCTAATTTCTATTATGTACATAATTTTAATTCGTCGAATTTCTATTAGACACATAATTTTAATTTTTAATGTTTTATTATATATACATAACTTTAAATCACCGTATTTCTATTATGCAAATAATTGAAATTGTGCATAATAGAAATTCGATCAATTAATATTATGTACATATAATAAAACTTCGGGAATTAAAATTATATACATAATAAAAATTCAGGTATTAAAATTATGTACATAATAGGAATTCGGCGAATTAAAATTATAATCATATAATAGAAATTGAAGAATACAAATTATGTACATAACAGAGTTGGCAAAATATCAATTAACTTTTTTAAAATTGAATAAATAATATAAACAGATTTAATTAAAATATTTTGAATTGACGATTAAATTAGAAAGATTAATTAGAGATCGTTACAATGACGATTGATATAAGCTAGATTAATCGAAGATGTTTGATTGATGATATTATAACATGACTGAATTTAAATTCAGACTGAATTTAAATTCAATCAAACATCTTCGATTGATCTAGCTTATATCAATCGTCATTGTAACGATCTCTAATTAATCTTTCGAATAAATCGTCAATTCAAAATATTTTAATTACATTTGATTACATCTGTTTGTAATTAAATGTCATAATTAATTTAAAAAGTAATTAATTAATCAGCATCTCTGGTACATAATAGCAATTTGGCAAATCAAAATTTAAAACACAATAAAAAGTCAATAATTAAAATTATGTACATAATGAAAATTCAGGAATAAAAAATAATATGTAATTTGTGCGGAAAAAATTTACGAAGTAAAATTCTACGAAAATGTTAGATTTATAATAAAAAGATAATGAAGAGAAGAACTATTCAACATTTTCACATAAAAGTTTTGATAACATACTTTATTTTTTTTAATATAAACTTTTGTTATATTGTTACATGTTTTTTTTTTAAATGTTTCGAAGTAGATCTGTCATATTTTTTTAAACAAACTTGTCGGAAACACTTAATAATTCATGAATAAAACTGTGATTTCATAAACGATAAACTAAAACGAGATTTTTATCATCATTTAATTCCTCATCTTTCAATTCATTGTATACGTGTGCTATATTCCTTCGCAAAGACTCATAGAGGTTTGAAAAATATTCGCTTGTGATGCAATCCACGGTAAACACATAGATAAAACAGTCTAAAAAAATTAAAATTTCGACTTTCACTCGAAAAATATAAATATAATTCGACAACTAATATATTTATTAAAAACGTACAATATATTTCTTAATATTTGTTGCGTCAGTTTTTCTCAACTGACACTTATGACAAATAAAATTGTTTTATGAACGATTATAACAAAAAAATATTTTACAAATATAACGTTTACAAATTTTCTAAAATTGACGTGTCGACGAGTCTCAATGATTTTAATCGCCTTGCTTATTAGTTTTGCGATTAAAGTCAAGCTACAACTTCTTATTTATATCTTGTGATGCGATGTAGTGAATGAATCAATGAATATTTTACTTATTATGTCGATGCTAACAATATCTTTCAAAAAAGCAGTACCTTTATACGTACGTAAAGTATATAATTCCGCAGCAAATGCTTCATATAATATTTTTAATTAAACAGTTATTATATTGATGTACGAATAAAATATGATTTAATCAAATAATTGACAAATCTCAAAATACAGTAAATAAACGCATATGTGTATATATGTATCTATTATAAAGAATTTTAAATAAAATTTTGGCACAAATGCAGTAATCAAATTCAAAATTTCCAATGTATATATTAAATTAATTAATATTACACTAATTAATACTTTACGTATGTACATATTGGGTCGTCATATTTCTGGATTATATTTATATCCAGAATTACATTATTTTCTATATTACAAATATATTTCAATTCTATCAAAAATCCATCAAAAAGGCACGCCATTATTAATATTATTTTTTAATTATATTTATCTCAAAACATGCTGAAATACTAATACATCCATAATCCAAACACATATGCATATGTATATTTAAAACAATTTATGTATAATATTTAGACTTTTATTACATATTTTTGATAATAATAATTATAATGTTATTATTATCAAAATAATATAATAACAAAGATGTTTTTAACGAATATTGTTTTAAAATTATTTGAAATTTTAAGAATATTAGAAGCAATAAGTTGATCGTAAAATCGGCTGCTTAATATCATCATTACACATCTAATACTTGTGTACATATAATATGGAACCTTTTAATTTTATTAAAACGTAATCTCTCCCACGTTCCCTAACTATAATTAATAAGATAATTAAAATAAAATAAATTTTATTGAAGTACATCGGAAAGTAAGTGAGAAAAGTTTGCTTATAATATTTTAAAATATTGTCGAATACGTTTTTAACTTTCGATTTTGGTTATGCAAGAGAAAAACAGGAAGTACCTTTTACTTAAACTTATCAACGAAGAAAACAAAAACTTAAAAAACTATCCTCTATATTTACAATTCGATTCGATAACTTAAAATTAGGAGCTGCCTCTGGGCCAAGTTAATATCTTCGTTTCTGGAAGACGTTGATTCACCTTTAGATGAATCAAATAGAGAAGTGAAAATTGCGTCATAGTGTATGAAGTTATTGCTAATTCGCTAATTGCTATATAAAAATGGTGAACTGGTGTAAATCTAAGGTCAGTGGTTGCTGCGAGACATAGGCGAAATATGTAATATCTTCAATTAATATAAACAAATATTTTAATTAAAAATATTAATTATTAAAAATAGCCGTCTTTTTTAACTTCATCTAAATTTTATAAGTTACGGAATGAATAATTATAATCTACTTGAAATCTAATTATAATCATTTTTATCTGCCAAGATATCATTTTATTATTTTTTTAAAGGATACATAAATATGTTATTGCACACTTAATTTTCCCTCTTTCGTATAAATGAATTATAGTCTGATATGTAAGAATTTTTAATTAAAAATTAACATTTATTTGAAAAATTATTAATTACAAAACATCTTTTATTTTGAGCAACATTTTTTTCTTTATCTATGAAAACTGAGCATTTATTAAGCACTTCCTCCTAGTGGATAAATGTGAAATGTGAATTTTCCAAGGAGCAAGCGATAGTATTTGAGCGTATTGTTTTGAGCAAATTGCATGTCATACACAATTTTATTCCCAATTGTAACATTAATATTTTTAACACTTATTGAATTGAAAAAGTAAAAAATTAGGTAAATGTTATTTAAAACATTTTTTCAGAATTATTAACATTAAATACACACAATTTTGCATTTATGTGCACCCTCCGTTAAAGTCATTTGAAATTACATTACCGCGGAATTTAAAAATATTACGTTAAAATATTTATCTTGAGCGTTGGCGCTCGTCGGTTCACGATAAAATTATTATCGATCTTCTTTCGCGTCCTCGCGTGCAACGTCACTGACCTATGCAAAGTGCGCCTTGCACGCGTACATTTGCTCGGAAGGCCTTTCATGGACGGAATGGCTGATAAGGATGCGATTCTCTCTTAAGATAATATTAAGTACTTATTACTAAAAACATATATGGATGCACGCTGTGCATAATTTGCAAATACAAATTTGAACTCTGATCGTCGACTTTTAATTCGAGCTAGTAATATTATTTAAGCGATTATGTAATATGAAGCAATTGTAAAAATATCTTAAATATCCGCTACAACGCTTCTCATAATATATTATTTAACTATTAGAATAAGAAGATTCAATATAAAAAAACAAGTGTTAAGAAAAAAATGCCAAAATATTGGATTGGTTTATGATCATTATTGATATTTTTACTAACAAGAATATAATTATAAAAGATACTGAAAGAAACTCAAAGAAAGAATAACTTTAAATTAAGGAAAAAATAATTTTAAAGGCACTTGTAATCTTTTTCATAATACAGCGAAGGCGTTGAATTTATTATTGCAATTTTGTAGAAACATGTTGTTTTTCGGCTTAATAACGATAACTTAAAATCGAAAGCATTAAGTCGACAAGACTGCACTGCGCGCATCTATGTAAGTCACACAAGCGTTCGTATTAATTACTATTTAATTAAGTCACACAGCCGCATGGTTCACGGAGGCGATAATACGCATTCACGAGTCACTCCAAACTTACGATACTACATTATAATAATATAAAGTAATAATCACACAATCTCAAATGTTACTTTTCTGATTTTTTGACTGGAACTAATTTATAATTGAAAATAATCACACGTTATTTCTAAGTTTTGATTGAGATTAATGATCATTAATATCATATTATTCTGCTCATGACTCGGCATTTAATGATTCAGAGATTATTGAGAAATAAAATAATTATGACGAATTATTTTATGCGAGGCTGTGATTATTCATAAGAATACCCATCATCTGGTGACTATCGTATACGTAGAAACTCTTTAAAGTATATAGAAAGTCGCGCGAGCATTTAAGAAAGACAAAGTGACGATGAACGATCTTTCTTATTTGATCGATCTTTACTCTAATATGCAATATATACAATACTTAAAAAAATCCTCGTTCGCATAAAAACTTGAAAAATCTTACGAAATACTTCAATGTGCAATCGCAAATAGGAAACACAGTCGCCACGTCATATTTCATTCATATACACTTCGCCACATCCTACTTCCATTTTCCTTCTTGAATTAGAATCGTTCATTCGATTCCGGTAAAACAATTTTTCTTCAATATTCTGTGATTGAATAAGTATTTCTTCTTTTTTTTTTTTTTATAAAAACAATTACTATCACAAGTTGTTCTAACTCATTTCACAGTAGAACTTTAAATCGTATTTTAACGAACAAATATATACGTAGTTTCATTTACAAATATTTCGTCTGTTTCGAGTACGCAAAATCAAGAACGATCTTATGGTGTGTTTAATACTCGAAACTTCTAATCTTAAAATGAGCTCTCGCGAGCTTTTGTTCTAAGCTGCGCGGCTTCTGGACTCGGTGTCATCGCCGGATTATCGTACGCATAATCGAGGGTGGTGTCTTCGCTAGCGTATCGTCGTGATAGAGGGGTACTTGTGGTATTCGGTGTAGTGCTATTTCCGTTATTATTACTACTATTATTACTATTACCATTTTCGACGATTTTGGGTTCCGATTCAACTGTGGCACTTATGCTTGGTATAGTCAATTTCAGACCATTTTGTTTATTCGCAGCGGCCTCGACGTCATCTTTATTCTTATTAGCTACCTGCAAAATTTATTATTAAAAGATTAAAATACTGTGATTGTCTCATCAAAAGCGCGCAAGAAGCACTTTAATCAATTTGTTAAAAATACCAAGCATTCATAACTTTAGGAAACTGAAATGAAACAATGAAAAAATATAATGAGAAAAATGTTTTTCTAATAGAAAACTTATATTTATATATTTTAATTTATATTTTAATTTAATTTGTTACTTAGCTAAATTTGAATTCACTTGTCTCTCGTTCTCCGACAAGCTCGTGATATCGAAAATCGAAATGTTTAATAGAAAGTCGTAGTAAGGCTTATGAATTTTTTGAAAAAATCCATTGTCGTAAATGATCCGACCTTACCTTTGCAAGATTCTTTCTGAACACAGTTCGTAAGCTGTTTTGGATCCTTTCCCACCGTATTAAGGTTCTTCCCAGCAGGTATAACATCCCCAATAATGAGAAAGAGGTTAACGTCGTTGTAACTGCGAACCAATTCTTGAGTTTTTCCACCTCCTCTGTGTAGTAGAGAAATAAGTTTTAAGAATACTAATATAATAAGAATTATATGTGTATATATCCGCGCAAAAGATATGGGGATCATTAATGCATAATATATTCAATTTATTTGGAGAATCAAAAAATTGTGTGTAACATTAAATTATAATATTATAAACACATTTTTTCTCATTCTCTCTCTCTCTCTTATAAAGAATATTAATATCTCTATTTTATAAAGAATATATTAAAATTTGTAATTAATATCTACATATATATATTAATTATAAATATTTTATGCAATTTTAAACATTTTAGAGCTAACAAAAATAATCTAGCAGAAACAGTTAATTATTGAGATACAATAATATTAATCACTTTTGCATAATGCTAATTTAATTGTTTCGTTACACTGATTTTAAAAGATACGCAATAAACACTTCTATCCATTCTCGGTTAAACTTCAAAAGTGATAATTAACATACATTTTAAATTGCCGCTTTTCCCCTGATTTGCATTTTAAAATAAAATCTCACAATTTTTACATAAAAGAATAATTACTCGATATCATGAAAAAAATAAACTACTATATAGCTAAATTTTAGCTGTTTCCTGTTTCTATATTACACATAAAATTTAGTTATCATGCCTTTTAACTATGATAATTAATTTTTTTAGCTATAGAATTCTCGGTTTAACTATAACTAAAAATATTCATTACCATAGCTAAAACTTATGCATAATAACTAGGGACAGTTAACATTTAACTATGGGGGCTAATTTTTTTCATGGTATTGAAACAAATTAGCTGTAAAAAACATTACAAAACGCTTACGTATACAATCACTTTTTTCCACTCATACATTACGTGAAGTCGATAGAATCGACTTAGTAAAGTTACATATTAAAACTTGTCGATAGTTTACTGCAGTTACTTAAGAAATAATATTTATCATTACTCTATAAGTTGTTATAAAAAAATTACAAATATGCTCTTCCATGATATAATTACATAATTACAAGATCAACAAATTATAAATAATATAATCAAGCTTCTCTTATAATTTTGCGGCAATCGCGTGAGAATACGAGCCGAGTTCGATGCTTATGCGAGATTTGCGTCGTTGAAATCTCCAACTTGTCCGACTTCTCTCAAGTCTGCGGTACTTGGCGACTAAATTATGCGCATATCCTATTCACACCTGAGCCCACTCACCTCTGAGATCATCGTACTGCCTATTTGAAGCCACACGCTCAATATAGCGCTGATCGTGAAGATAAACTGCAATCAAAAGTAATCAATAATTATAATTAATCGTTTTTTTATACATTTACATCGCACTTGCCAATGTACGCAAGAGTTTAAGAACACTCATATTAAAATGTATATTTCATTAAGACTACGAGTTTATCAGACATTTACTTAGAAAGCGTTACGGGAAATAATCACATTAGCGACGCTATACAACTCGGAGATTTCTCCAACCGTGACTCCGACATATTCTATTCTGTGGCGTATTCTATTATACGCCAGCTGCGTGAGAGGAAAATTTGACGTTATTATTCGTATGAAAGTCGAATCAATTATAGTCTCAAGAATGCAAAGTCACAATCGCTGTAATTACTAATAAAATACGATGTCTCTTTAATAATATTATTATAATATTAAAACATTAAAAATTTATCAATACACTTTATCAATATAAAAATATAGTTTGTCCTAAGATATATTTTTGTTTAAAATAAAGAAGTCATTAGAGTAGAATATTTTCACGAAAAAAATATAGAATTTTAATGCAAACTTTTTAAAGATTATTCTTATACTATATACCTTATATAAAATATTTCTACTTATAAATCCATCAGTACTCGCATTACTTCTATGCTCATTTCTTTTCTATAGCAAGTTCTATATTTTGAAGACAACTGTACACACTCCATAAAATTGATTCGACTTACGCGCGATCGATTAATTTGCTCTCTTCTTATTTTTGTACTCCTTTTCTCGACGCTCTCCACATTTTTTTCTTATTCGAGTCAACGATCTACCTGTCAAAAGACGTAGATTCTCATGCGCTTGCGTAAGACAGGAGAGGTCGGTCGCGATAGCAACTTACGATGCAAACAATTCCGACCTACGGTTGCTTACTTGTAGCACGTGGGTGCGCGTAATCGCACACCCTTATCGCTATTGTAAACGCGAGATGACCCCATTCCAAACCGAAGAGGGACGCAAATGTTGGTGCTAGACCTAGGACGGCGAGCTTGCGCGGATCGATGCGAAACCGCGAAGGATAAATTCGTAAACAGAGTTCTCGAATTGAGATAATCTGGGAGCAAATTTTATTATATTATACATTTTCTATTATAATATTGCATATTATAATAAATTATAATTCATATATAATATAACAATTCTATTCAAATTTTGGAATGACGGATCAAATGACAGATATAAAAGAATCGGTCCTCCCAATAGCTCCTAGGTATTTCGTAGGATATTTTTACTGAAACGCCCGACACGAGTTTACCGACATAACGTAATCGGACACCGTAACGAGGGTTCTAAATGGAGAATCTGTTGGGCCCATGGGCGCCCAACGGAACTCCATACGGACAATTTTGTAGCAGCTACGACGTCAAATCCCGTCACGCAAAGGAGCATCTCCTTTGATGTGTAGAGAATTTCATTCTACGCGCGTCCCTCGAAGCCGCGGTTCCTCCTACCTGTCGGAGCATGAAATACATCTCCCCTTTCTCACCGCGAAACCGACGTTGAATCCCAAGCAGGAGTAAAAGGGAAAAAATAGAATGATGCAGAAGAGAGGGACTGAAAGGAGCTGAAAGAAAAAGGACGATGGAAGGGAGGAAGAAAAGAAGTTGAGGTGACTCATCGGCCGCGTTCGCGTGTGGGAAGTCGGTAGGGATAGTCAGGTGCAAAGTCAACGGACCCGAGAACCCAGGTTTGCCTGCTCGACAGAGGTGAATGATGGCACCGCGTATCGCTATCCGGTTTCCCGTACGCACGTTGATTCGCATGAAAACGAGAAACCGGAACGATGCGCCGCGATATGCAACTGGTTCTGAATTAAAATAACCTGGCCGAGTTATTTAAATTCAACTTCACGAAATATCAGTCGAAAACATTCAAGCGTTTGGGAAATCTTCTACCTTCTACATGATACAGGGTGTCCCATAGGAAATTGCTGCAACTAATCAGCTGTCATTTTTAATGCACGCAGTTATTGAGAAAACAAAAATTGTGTGAAAAGAGGAAAGCAGTTTTTAATGGAAAAAAAGTAATGAAAAAGTGCTAATAATCACATATGTAAACTAATGATAAATATGTTCAAAGTGCGCACCATTTGAATTTTTGTACAAAATTCTCTTTTTTTACGAAAACTCGTAAACTTTTTCTAAACGTCATTTTTAATGTTATTGACGATCCTTTTAATATCTGCTATTAAATCTGTCAAAAATATTTTTCATTAGTTATGTGATTATTAGCATTTTTTTTCATTACTTTTTATCAGTAAAATAAACTGGTATACATTTTATTTATATCTATTAAAAAAAATTTTTTAACACAATTTTTGTTTTCTCAATAACTGCATGCATTAAAAATGACAGCTGATTAGTTTCAGCAATTTCCTGGGACAGTCTGTAAGCTATATGAATATTCAAATGAATGATTATTTGCTTTTTATTCTGTTTGAAAACCGATATTGCTTCGATGACTCACCTTGACAATCTTTCGTGCACTCTTCTGGTTGGTAATTGTGGCTCTCCATGTCGCATGCTTCTGCACAAGGTTTGCAGTGCGTGTCGAAAGGGCTGCAATATTCCGATACATTGCAACGTTTTTCGCCGCACTTGACACCCCGAAGATCAAGATCGGCGTGCGAGAACCTAGCCAACACGATGACGGCTATCACCAGCAATCCCATGCTGTTTACGATCACATCCGGAAACATTCGGTTAAGATATTTTGCCAATTCGATGCACGATGTCGAAATGACCGAACCGGTTCGGTGCTCTTTTCTCGTCCCTTTCGTAATTCTTCCTTTTTGCTTCTCTTCCCTCTCTCCGAACGTCTCGAATCACGGATTTAGGACACGATCGTGACTCCAACAATCGATTCTCGCGGTGATCTTAACGGCACTCGAAAGATATGCCTTGAGCAAGCTCCATACTCGTGGCGCTAATTATTGCGAAAAAATTATTACTACATTTATGTCATCGCCGAAATTCGTAAAGAAAACATAGACAAAAAACAAAATGAGAAACATGTTCGCACATGCATTGTCTATTATAAAAAATTGATAATATGCAAGATAAATTGAATCCTTCTTCTTTTGTATTGATATTTAACTTAAATATTCAGAAAAATCGATTTCGATTTAGCCGAAGAATCCATTTTAACGTAGATATAAAAATATGCGTGCCTATTACTTTGCAAGTAAGCAATACTGTCAATTGAACAGATTTTCTTGATGAGAGGACAATACATATAATTTTTAGAGACAAACATTTTAATCGAAAATGAAGACAAACAGAGATTGAATGCCCAAAACATACATGCATACACAACATAATTTCGTAACTTGAATACTCTCAAGATTTTTATTTTTAATTGCTATTAAAATTAAAATAATTCTCGAGCATTTCATAAAAAGATATTATTTTTATATAATTCTTTATGAATTACAGTAAATACTTGGGGATGTGTTTTATTTTTGATAAAATTTGTGTCAATCAGCATGTGCTTTACATTTTACAAATAATCAGCTATATTTCAATGTATCATCGATCAATATAAACCATATATTTTAAAAAATACTTGCATCTAATATATATATAATATAAAATTTATGTATAAATTCTGTTTTGCGCGATTATGTCAAAAAAAATGAATAATGGTTTCTCTTTTGATCTAGTTTCTTCCGATTTAAAAAAATTTGAAAATTTCGCATATATATAGTACGAATATACATATATATATTTTTATTTAAGTCGCACGATACACAATTAAAATCATTCGAAGAACATCTTTGATCGACTAAATGTTTCCTTTCGTCAATTACATTCGATATAATGTCGCGAGACCAGAGATGCGTCGTGTTTACAAAAAATGTTACGTAGGTATCATCTCTGCATTCGAACACCTGTGTTAACGCGGGTCCGGATGCATCAAAGTGGCCTCCGGTGTCGCGCAACAGTGAAGATACTTTCGCGGTTGTCATCGACGACCTCGTTTTATTGTCACGTCGCGGACTATGTTTTATAAATAATTCGCGGTCAGTTTTGTTGGTCTCTTTAAAGAGTTATATATTTTTTCGATTGCGTAATGTTTTCGCGCTCTAGAGAACGTATCTCGAATACTAATAACGTATGATTCCGTATGATTACGACTATGATGACAATATAAAAAATTGCAGTGTATAAATAGACGCTTATATAAATGATTAAAACATGACTGAAAAGACAAAAAAATGACAAAGTAAAAATCGCGTATGTCTTTATGCGTATAAAAAAATAGTGCGATCATTCTTTAGATTGCTTTAGAAATAAAATATAACGTGGATAATGAGGGACTAATATTCTCAGGGCCGCGTCGTATCGCGTTTGTGACTCATTCCTCATATCAAACAACGAGGTAAACGCTTACTTCGTGCTGTTTTCTACATACATACCTCCGCGAAGCAAAGGAAAATCGTCCGCAACTTTCGATCGAAGCCGCGAAGGCTGATATTCCGACTAATCGATATATGTTTCTTCATCGTGTTTCTGTCAATATTTTGTCAATATTTTCAAGTAGTTGTTTCACAATTAAAAAATTCAATAGGATAATCGGATGTATAACTTACTTTCTTAACAATTTGAGGAAATTAAATATTTTTTAAATCTGAATTCAGAATTAAAGTTCTCATTTTCGCGAGATGAATTGTTCAGTTAATTGTCTGCAGCTCCCGTAATTGCAAAATGATTGCTATTTGATAATCGATAATATAATATTTAACAATAAAATAAGATACAAAAATACGTCAAGTTATTTTGTTTTTTTTCGACCAAAGTCTCGACAAATGTACCTTTCCTTACGTTTCGCGACCGGTATTGCGACATATCGCGTGTCTTCAGGACACATTCACGTCGTTTGGGTCCCGGATATTACATGTTTTTCGTAATCACGTGGATGTAACATCGTAATGCAAACGCAATGTGTACCAGCGAACACCGCGATACATCTGGTACCGAACGCACACAATGTGTCAGACGCACAATGGTTCAGGTTTAGTGCCTTGTGTTGTAACAAATGGTATTCGAATTCGAATGTTATAGTCTCGAATGTTTGTGGAAATACAATAACATTACAAAGTAAAGCGATGCTCTTATGCAAGTTGTGTTTAAAACCACGACAGCACAATTTAAAAATTCGTGTATATTATAAATCGGTATATGTATTATAAAAAAAAAATGAAAAACTTCTCTCTTTCGTTACTATTATTCTATATAGATTATCACGTATTTGTGTAAAGTTTTTAATACAAAAATTTTCATATTATAAAACCACTGTCAATCCTAAAAGGTGTAAAGAATATCGACAATTTTTTAAATTTAATAATAGCTTTTCACATCTTAAATGATTAATTTCGTACGAAAAAAATTACTCGCGTCTCAATTTAAAATTTCATAAAATATTAAAAGCTTTTATAATGTTTACAATAATTTTTCTAAACTTTCTTTTTAGAAACTCGATTTCCTGTCGATATCCGGTCGTTTAATTGTTAATGTCCGAGTCCAAATCTCAATGATAATATATATATATCTATATGAAATAAAGAGAACGAGTTTTATCTCCTTTTCAATATTGTATTTATTTCACGATAACGGAAAGAGTATCGCTAACGGCTCTTGCTTGGCTACAGCGACATTTGCCGAGGAAAGTCCGAACAGAAGTCAGAGGTAGGCAGCGAACACGCCAGAGGCAGTCTGGACTCAGGAATGTTGCCCGACTGGTTCACGAAGAGGGCTTTTACGCATGGCGAAACATTACGGGTCGAACGCGTCGTCGATACTCCTACGCTCGAACTCCGCTCACGATCGATAAAATGAATCATCGAATCGAAACGTCATATTTCGGATATTAACTTAGCCCAATGTGTGTGTAGAACGATTATACAATCTCGAAAATTCGAATGCAACGACATAATAATAAACGCTGAATTTTATTTTCGAAATCTTTCCTTCGAATCAAACATCGATTAATGAAACATTAATGTCAACGGATTAATAAAATTTTAAAATTAATGGCAAATTAATCGCTTATAATTTCGATCTTTATTAATTTGACAGTCATATTAATTTTGCGGGTTTCTAAATCTTACACGGAGAGAATTTTCTCTTAGAATTTACCCTGAAAATTATGATAATCGTGAGATAATATGGTGTTGGAAGAATTTTTATTTACCCAATAAAAAATATTAATAAAAATAACATTAATCGAGTATATTTTATATCTTATTGTGGTGGATATTAATATTTTATTGTGGTAAATAATAATCAGAAAAACTCTTATAAAATTCTTCTACCATATTGTCCCACGATTAGTATGATTTTCAGGGTAAATTTTAAGAGAAAATTCTCTCTGTGTACGATCTCTTATGATCTCTGGAACATAAGCGAGATATGAGAATATCATCGTTCCAATTTTTTGCAAATACTACTAGAACTTTGTCAGACACGTGACACGGTCATTCTAATTAGAAAGAAACTGACTCATATCGCCACGTACCCGGTATCTCGTTTCTTGTAACATCTCTCGCGGATTGATAAGGCTATGCAATATCCAGTCTGACAGTCACGTAATTTACGTCAGAATGAATATTATCGCGCGCGAGAAGACGCGTCACACGCGCGATCATCTTTCTTATGACGAAACATCGTAAATCACTGCGATGACGTTCGGTCCCGAAGAAATTGCGGTTCCGCGTTTCCTATTCTCTAATCAACACGCGGTGAAGTAGGACGAACGTTTCTCGACGTTGCTGTCCCGTGTAATTACCTACTAATTAGCGGCTCATTATGAAGCCATTTAATTGTCGGTTCAAATATTTTTCAAGAGATTTTTGCAACGATGCGTAACGTCGCGATATTCATTGACTGTGATGTGTCCTTGCTCGAATGAGCGAGCTCGTATATAAAAGTTGATAATGCAGATTTAATGAGTTTTCGGAAAGCATCGTTTGATACCGGAAATACATTATTGGAGCACGTTATATGGGGCGATGGGTGAAATAAATTAAGAAAATACTAGATAAGAAAAAGAGAAATCGTTGGATTCTTCGTGCGTTTCGAATCGATTATTTCTTAAGGGAAAGTTTTTGTGATATTACGATCTTTCATAACTTATTACACACTTGCTAATTAAGCACTGAAATAATTGACACTTTATCGAAACAAAAACTTGTAGAATTTTATTAAATTTGAAATCTTGGTAACTTCAAATTTGAAATAAAAATTAAGAGCTTATTCATTACTTTCATATGTATAACATTCAATTCATTTTAACAACAATTTAGTAGAGATTATTTATTTTAAAAATGTAATATTAAATGGCAATTTTGTAAGGAAATATCGACTCGAAATTTATAGCAACAGTTTTCCCGATTATCGTGTAAATCCTAGCATATGGTACCGGCGGTTTCCAAGCAGCAAAGATCAATATTCGCGTAAAGAAACAACGAATCAATGTTGCGATAAATGGTGAAATTATCACACGACACACGTCAAGTCCACTCGTCTTATCTGCAACCGTGATCGTTAAAGTCTCCGCGAATTCTCCTCACAACGTCGTCCAACTGCTCGTTACGAAATATATTCTGCGTTGTTCGAATATACGCACTTCGCTATTGCTCCTATTCGAGCTCGGTAACCGGATTCTCGCGCATCTAATGACAATGATATACTCGACTGCAATCAACGATATTATTTCGATGATAATAAATATTCATGAAACTAAAAGCGCTCGAAACGAAAACCGTCACCAAAGTCAAACAATTTAATTTTACATATTTCATATCATTTAAAGAGCCTTTTAAACACACCTGTATAATTATTTATATATGCCATAGATATGTTCTTGATTCGTTTTTCTCCGATCGAATTTTAAAAACAAATTATGTGAACCTTCTACGTCAATTTTCGCGAAAAAGATGCATAAATTACGGTAAAAAAAAAAAAAAAAAATGTAACTGCATAAATTCATGACACTCATTCGTGAGAAATCGATGATGATAGATAGATTCGCACGCTTACCGAGGTCATCCGTATATAATGCAATCCGCATCGCGCGCGCGAACGCGCGCATCCAACGCACGCACCCACGCACGATCACGCGCGATGCACTCCGAGTTCCTGCATCGCGGAAAATGCAAATGCCAACGCGGCTGGAAGGATAATCGCGCACTATCGACGGCTTTCCGCGCTTGACTGTCGATCGCGCGGGTACGTCAAACCGAAGCGAGTTCAGGCCTCAGGTTCTCTTGCAACTCCCACCTCTCTCTTGGAGAAGTCGGAGCCATTTCGTCCCCTCCAGTCGGGCGCACCTGTGCCTCTTTTCCCCTCGCGTTCACTCACCTAATCCTTCGCATCTCTTCCCCTGCCATTCGCTCTTTTTTTTCTCTTACCTGCCATTTACCTGTTGCCAGCTTGCGCGCGCACTCGCATCAACGACAACCACGGATGGCGGGCACGTGTTGACGTGTCCGTACGCGAACACGTGATTCCCGAATTGGGCAAAAACACACGCACATAATTCGGGACAAAGAGGACTTTAAAATATCTGCGAAAAAGAGCGGGAGCACAAATTTATCTTTTCCATATATAAGAAACCCAGATAGCACCATGTCTAAAATGCACGCATAAGTCATCATTAACCCTTAGTCCCGACTCAATGGGTCGTTTGCGACCCAAACGAAAGGTGTTCCTCACCTTTAATTTCTTTTTTTATTTTTGTCGATATCTTCATTTGGCTTAAAGTTATGATATTTTAAGTGAACAAGTGATTTTTCCTTAGATACCTCCATTTCTTAATAACAAACTATATAAAAAAAATAATTTTTATCGAAATATTATGATTGGGACTTCAAGTTGAAGGTTGCAAGAAGCTCCATGAATTTCTTCAGATTTTTTAAAGCGTTTTTACTGATCCAAATAACGCAAAGACGCAAACGACCCATGAGTCGGGATTAAAGGTGCCGAAAAGAACCGTCGGGACCTAAGGGTTAAGAAATCTTATGATATGATATCCCAAAGACATCTTGAAGACATCTTAAAGATGTCTTATGGGTGCATTTTGGACATGGTGCTATCTGGGAAAGAATAAGTAATTAATCAAGGATACATAAAGTACACGGAAAGAATTTTCTCTTGAAACTTACCCGGAAAATCGTGGTAATCGTGCGACAATATGGTATTGGAAGAATCTTAATATTTACTTATTTACCACAAAAAAATATTAATATGTACATAGTAAAATTTACTATGCCATTTTCAGGGTAAATTCTAAGAGAAAATGATCTCTGTGTAGAACTTTGTCGCATAACTATAAATTATTTACTTTATAAAAATAATTTAAAAAGCATTTATAATTCGTTAAATATAAAACGTTAGAGAAACGTCAGGATAATAGTAAAAGTGCATCGCAAAAGTAGTGGGATGACGACATACATATTTATTGCGTATTAAATGTTCATACAAAGATATAACAATGACTCTCGGCGCTACGGGTGCTAACATTATTATTGCGGATTAATATTGTTGTTTCAGAGGAAACGAGTTTATTATTGCATATTAGAAGAGGTTGATTGCGTAGGAGGGGCGATTTGTCGGGCGGGAGGTCGATATGTCGAACTATTTGGTGCTGTCGCTTCTGCTTATATACGGAACGGATATTGCGAGTCGTGGAGACACAAGTTCTCGAAACGATAGCGCGTTTCGGAACCTAGAAAGGCGAGAAACCTCGCGGCTTCATTCCGCTAGTCGACTCTTCTTCGAGTTCTTAGAGTTTCGGTATTCGCGTTGCACGAGATATGCGTGAGAGAGTGCTATTGAACAAAAATTCTAATTGTCAAAAAAAAAAAAAAAAAAAAGATTCTAAACCTCATACGACACCCCTGGTTGAGTATATTACTCACTGACCATAGGTACCCGCCGATTTGATCACACTGCATGATGTGTTGGTCCCTATAATCATTGAAGATATACCCAGCGCATTTTATTAGCCCTCCCGCAGTTATTTGTATATATCACTATTAAAACCATAGCGCACACGAACGTAACAAATGGTCAGAAAATCTTCTCCGTAAGACCATGGGTACCAAGAGCACTTCCAGAATTTTTTTTTTTGTCAACCAGGGACGTATATCCGCGACACGGACAATGAGAATCCAGAGAATGATCGATGAATGATCGAGGAAGAGGACGGTGATGATTCGTAATGAACAGAAACGACTCGCTTACTTTAATTCTCCGCCATCCGCGAGCGGATTTCTTTCGAAAAGTCTCTAATCGTGTCCGGTCCCGTCTCTCTGACAAAGATGAAAATTTCTACGATAAATCGGAGATCTTGAGCTCGGTCCGGCAATTTGTGCGTTTGTTGTTTTTGATCGTTTGTGGCTTTCAACAAATAATTTGTCGTAAACACCCTGTGTATGTATAAAATATGCTGCTTTCGCTCTTGTTTTTCTCTCTGTACTTCTCATGTTTGTAAATCGAGAACACAACGCGGATAATTTTTCTCTTTCGAACCGTTTTCAAAGTACGGTCGAAACATATACTTCAATGTGCGTTCTGTTAATATTGATTGATACGTTCTATTTGTTAAACTTGGTAAACTATATATCGGGCGCATCCGGCGCGCCATATTTACGCACTCAATTCATGCACACGCAATGACACACCTTTTTTTCGTTCGATTCGCCTCCATCTCGAGCGAGTTTATCCCGGCTGAAACGTTCCCGTGAGGAATATAAACCGTTTTATAGCTGACCTATTTTCAATCCGTGAACGCATACTCGCTGATCACAGGTACCTGAGATTGTCATACCGATGGTTCCTGCAATCATTGAGGATGCTTCCGGCGATTGTCCATTGACGGAACATTAGTCCCTTTGATTATCTCAGCACGAGTCGTTGGGTAAAATCAACTGGATAGAATTAAATAAAGCGAGAAAACAATAAATCGTAGATTTTTCAGGGAAAACGATATCTAAAATCAATTTTACTTTTGTTTGTTAAATATCTGCGTGATTATTATATATTGTTCTTTAGTGTCCAATTTTTGTTCGATAGAAAAGTTTCGATTAAAAGGGACAGAATTAAAAAATAAATACTAATAAGAGATAAGTATAATTATATGTCATATCATATTTAGTTTTATCATACCCGACGACTCACACGTCGCAAGTGACTATATTTGGATCATTCCCTTATAAGGGTGTGGTAATGGTTTTTTCGTGTAATTTTTTGTTCAACCATAGCAATCATCTCATACGTACACTCTTTCTTTCACTCTAAAATGCATTCGTTTGCGGTGCACGTCCGTCGCAAACGCAAAATCGCGATTGATTATTATTATTGTTATTAGTATTATTACGATTGCAATTTGTGATCGGCGAACGAGGAACGCATGATAGTAGATTCAATATATTATTTTTTGGACGTGATCGGCGAGAAAGTCTTCGCGTTAGATTCTTATTATTTCGAATTTTTTCTCATCACGAGACGATTCAACTAATGTGTCATTAATATGGACTAGTGGGTATATATATATAATTTATATATAGTTTAGTTTCTATGTATATACCCGGGTACCCATTCTCGTATTCGCGAAATTAAAGTTCGAAGTAAGAATTCGCGAAAAGCTTTTCGTATTAAAATTGCTTGCAGCAAGAAACTTTAATTCAGAAAGATCGACACCAAATTTACAACATCAAGAGTTTAAAAATCTGTTAGAATTAAAATTTTATCGAGCAATTGTGCGATTTGCTTTATAAAGAAGAAATACGTGTCATCTAAAAAATTGTCCTTTGAATCTACAATAAATGAAATAAGCAATATCGAGAGATCTCAAAATAGTAAAAGCCATTCATACACATCTCTCGCTTTCTCTCCCATCGAAATTCACTGTCGACAGACAAGTAATCGCGACGGTGTTATACATTATTATCGTATTACACATGTATGTTCTACGATTAAGCTGCCTTTGCATGTTGTAAATTGCACGAGAATGCAACAGCAAAAAGCCTGGCCGGAACTTGTACGTTTACTGGTTTTGTTTTTCTTCTTCGACTTTAGGCTTCCACTAAATATATGTTTGTTCGGATCTTTATTTCGCTCGGTTAGCGAATTCAAATTGAATCTGTGTACCGCTTTTATTTATGTATACAATCGAACTCGTGCGATTGATTGAGTTTGAGCTGATACATAGGATCGAGCTCTGCATCGGACTATTCGCTTATCAGAGTGATAATGTGAGTTTCATCAACGTCTGCGGCTTATTCGATCGCATACGAGTGTGGACGAGTTTGATTCCTTCTGACAACGTACTTCAAGTTGTGGCCACAGCTTTTACAAAGAAGGGAAAATAATCTCTCGAGGGGATAGAACAGAAAATAAATTATTAAATTACGAATATTCAAATATACGCGTAAATAACACTTAATAATAAAATAAACGAAATAGAGTACAATATTAATGTGTGTGTGTGTGTATGTGTGGAAAACAAAATATACTGTCCGGGGATAGAAATAAAAACACAATAGTAAACGTTCCGTTACCTGATCATTTTATTGTTCTTAACAGACGTCGATGAAATTCGCACAGGACTAATTTGCGTTCTCTTATTTAGGTTCAGTCTTCACAGACCACTGCGTTTGCCGTATTAATTCGTGACTACATTAATACAAAATATATTTTATTATAATTTATGTAGTTAATTAATCATCATAATAATATTTATAGCTTCTTTTACGCTGATGGTCGCGAAGAACTCGGCGTTTGTCTCGTTTTCCGTTCGTTATTGTAAGGAGAAAGAGAAGGAAGTTGCCGCGCGGTGTCGACTTGAAGAATCAAGATTGATTAACCGCTATCAAAGTTGATTTTCAAATTGTCGACTGGCCACGGGTAAACGGGATGATTGGGAGAGGGTGACACGGAATTTTGGCCTAAATAGACATATTTACATGAAAGGCCGAAAGGACAATTTCTTTTCGCGCGATAAGCGTATTCCAAGAGGTAATTTCGTTAATTCGACTTTAACTTGTTGAATTTTGTTGAGGGATGAAGGATTTTACACAAACGGGTCGGGGATGAACGCCGCGTTTGCAGACCACCTTTCTACAGAAGATTGTTTTTTTCTCATACCCATTCACGAAGAATTTGTTATCCTAATATTTAGTTCTATAAAGCGCTACTATTCTAAAATTTAATGCAATCTGTGTCAATGTTTTCTGTGTATATATGTGTGTGTGTGTGTGTGTATGTGTTAATTGTTGTGTGTTACATATTTGTATAAGATCTGCACTTCTTCGAATTACTCAAAAAGTACCACTTCAAGAGATGACGCGTAGGCGCTACGTTCGACATTAAATAAATATATAATCGATGAAAAAATATATTATTAAAAGTAGGTACGAATATAAGGGGCAAGGGCTTGGTACTGTTCTTTCGACGAATCGTAATACATTGCGTAAATAATTTCTATCGCGTCCATACCCTGCAACGCTCCACAGTTTTCACCGATTCGTTTTTATATCTTATATGACTTTCACATATTATTATTCGAAAAACATTACGTTAAAAACTTCTGTATTATAAATCTCTAGAATGCACGACAACGTTCGTATCCGGTGACGCTACACCCACGAACTTCACACCATCGATTTTTTCCGCGATCGATAGATATATATATATATATATCCCGAATACAAAATTAAATTGCATTAATTTAGAACATGCATATACATATTATGTATGTACTTTTTTGTATTTAAATATACCTCTCTCTTGTGTTTTATCGCGTGACCAATCTCCTCGCAACTTCTTTCTCATTCTTCTCTTCATACACATTGTACACACACACACACACATGCTTTTCTCACTCTTTCTCACTCATTCTATTTCGTTCTCTTATTTCGAAATGTTACGCGCTCTTAGCACAGTTTTATAATAATTAATTGAACTCTCCGAATTCGTATTAACCAACAAATGCTTCACGCAACTGAAACATCTGTAAAATATGAGATCATATCTGTCAAGAGACACGCTTCCATATTTTTTGGTGCTTTACAGTACCAGAAGAATCCGCGAGCGTGTTCCTCGGCCCTCAACGTTTGAGGATCCTTACACTAATCGTATTGTATTGTATTGTATTTCTTAGATTCATTAATTTTATGTGTGCATGCTGCTTCTCCCCTATTTCGTTCCGTAGGGAGAACTCGCATCGCGTTTCGGTTTTTCGGGAATCGTAATAAAAATTTTGCAAACAAGACGCAAGACATCTCTAAGAAAAACATATGTCTCTTGTCTTCCCGTAAACAAGACTGTCTCACTTAATTTTGAACACCATGGACTCGAGAATTAATGATGAATCTCAAACACTATTGTTTCCAAGTAATCGTGTAATCTGACATAGCCTTACAGCTAATGAACGGAATACGCGGACGCTTCATAACTACTTTCCTCTCCCTTGTTTTGACCGATTCTTCTCTTTCATCGTTTAAATTCGTCGTCGTCATTGTCGTCATCGTCATCGTCAGGCGACAAAGTTGTGTGGTAGCCAGTCGCGCGGTTGATTCTGTCGCGCATTCTCTTCGGAAAAACGAATAAATAGAAGAAACGCTCGATACGCGCGTAAAAAAAACAAGAAAAAAATGGAGAAAGGGGAGACCACATGTCACTTCTTTAGCATATCTCTTTCAAACACACATACATACGCACGTATACATAATACATGCACATACATACAGCCACACAAATATGCACACGCGCTCATGCCTTGCATACATGAAAGATCAAACTTTGTATTCCTCTTATATATTGCTAATTCATCATGATATAGTGTAACAACTATATCGTACTCCGCGACAACACTTACCTATCCCATTTTCTTTCTCTCGCATCCCAATGATGCACATCACGCATCATTATGCATACACACACGTGCGCGCAATCGCGTTTTTCCCTTCTTCTTACGGAATATAACTTTGCGAACAACAATGTCGTCGCGCGCGATTAATGATCTAGTCATACGCGGCATGTTTGCGCAAACGTGGACATGTAGAAAATGGAAAAAAAAAATAGAAAAAAGAATACATGATGCTTCTTTGATCGTCTAGACGCGTTTATCATAGAAAATATTAAGTGAAGGAGAACAAAAAGGGAAAAGGGTCTTTGGGAAAAGGTCTAGACGACAAGATGGATCTTTTATTACACGACGACTAACACAGTAATGCACGATTAAAAACAGTGAAGAAGTTTCGTTTCCACGTGAGGATCGCTGTTCGGCGGATATTAGTTCGCCGCGCTACTCTGAACATTATCTGCGTAAGCAGAACAACAGAATGAACATGAAAAATCAAATCGAGGTGAAAATAAAATTTCTTTCGTAGCAGCGATCCTACGCTTTTTCTCGCGACGATCATATCTTCTTTGTTATTATCTCGCGCCCAAAAATTAGTCATTCTGTTGCACGGATCAGCCGACCCAGTGACGTCATACACACACGTTGCGCTGCTTATGAAAACAAATCCGAGGATGATGCTCAAGCCACACAGCTCTTCTCTCTTCCCCGTTCTTGTACCTTCCTCGTTCGTCTCTTCGCGACGAAATAGCCATCCTCTTTTTCATGCGTGCTCGAATATCGCCCTGCTACCACTGATCGCGCTACAAATCCCACTTGTTATAACTGCAGAGACATAGGCTCCAGCAACCCGACCGTGTCGTACGGGCGTCGTCGCGATTTCCGTTGTCGTCACCACTACCATTGTTCCCCAGGTGCTTGTTATTGTTGTTGCTGCTATGATGATGCACCATCACGATGTTGTCGGTGACGGGGACGAAGGGTCCGTTGGTGCTGACGCAAACGGTCGGCAGACGATCGCCGTCAACAACACCGACGGGTCGCTGGCTGTCCTATACTCAAATGTTGCTCGGTTTGCCGCACGGCTCGGCAACCTTGTCGGTGCTGTTGACTCGCTGACTGCTGCCCTCGGGCGGCGACGGCGATGCACCGCCGTCCTCTGGTTTGTGAAGTGGCGGCTTCACCCCGTTCTGCACGTAGTGGGTCAACCGGGTGGGCAGCGAACCCGCGTTCAGCTGGTAAAACTCGACCAGTTGCAGCAAGTCGTAAAACTTGGTCGCCCCCTTGTCCAGAGTGTATAACCAGCAATTGCGACGTTCGTCAAAAATCTAAAAAGGAAAGTTTTATCGACATTAAGTTGATGTTGACGAGGTTTATGCATTCGAGAGAAACGTTTCAAAGATATCGCGAGGTCATTTAAAAACCATGTTTCGAGTAGTAATTTGTAACGAGATTAGAAAGCTGAAGAAAGAGAAAATTATATCAAACTGTTTTGAAATATTACTTATCGCATTAGATAACGCTGGTAATGTTGAAATAAAAGCAGGGCGGTTTAATATAAATTTATTCGAGAGAGTCGATCTGCGTAATAAAAAATTAGTCAATTTTGTACTATCAAAATGAATTTGTACTATCAATTTATTTATGATAATTGCAGCGAATTTTTAATTTTAAAGACCAAAGAAATTTTTCGAATCTTTTGAATTTGTCATTGATTATCGATTAAAGGCAGATACTTACGGGCTGAATTTGCGCGTGAAAGACCTTGTCGTTGTACTTATAGGTCAGAACGAAGGCTCCCGGATTACTCTTGCTCTCTCTGACCAGAAACACACTGCAAACACAAAGTAAAATGTTTCGTGAGAATTCGTGATGAATATCAACACAGACTTAATCAAATTAATCCAGCTCAATTTATTTCACATCAAGCTTATCTTTCATCGAAACCGCGATAATAATTCGAAATGAATAAATAAGTGTTATTATTACACGAGATACAAAAAGTGCATTACTATGCAAACACCCTATCGTGCACAATCATTTCCATCTTCTAGTCTTTTAGAAGCATTAAAGCGATACGTATGTATACGGGAGTCGTAAGGGAAAGGGTTTAAAAACCGCTGAAACGAACGATATCTGAATACAGGGACTAGTCGGGAGATGCAGGAGAGATAGGTTGCTTTTTTGTAACATGCAGGCCTGCACAGGGTGTTAGATGTTTGATATCAGGAAGGACATACACAACGGCTCCGGGGTATATCGCGGTATAAATTAGTATGGTCGTAAAAAGCAGCGGGACGAGCGAAACGGTTGAAAAGAAACAGCAGAGACGAGTGGACGAAGGGGAGAGAAAGGATGGAGGTCAGGGGATGTAACGACGACGACAGGACCGACCGGTCGGTCACGAAGCAGGTTGGCTGCTGCTGCAGCAGCGTAAGAGAGAAAGAGAGAGAGAGAGCTAGTCGCATGCGTCGTAAAATGCTCGCAACGCGGCCACGCGATCGTAAAACTCTGGCGAGTGGAAGAAGCGGTTCCCTTCTTCTTTCCCGGTACTTTTACACTCAGGAATCCCGCTGCCGTCTCCGAAGAGAGAAGAACTCCCTTTTCGATAAAATTTTATCAAACACTCGTCGCCCTTTCTCCAATTAACCCTGCTGATACTTTTGCTATTACGCGTATTGGGTATTATATTATATTGGTATTGGGGATATTGGTTTATTAATATCTATTAGAATAATATTTATATGTGGAAGGTGAAGAATTTATATAATAGATAGTTATATAAAAATTTTAATTTTATTTATAATGTTTTTTAGCTGGAATTACTAAAAGAGCTCAAATTCCTTTTTCCGTTTGATTACCTTTGGCAATAGCAGCTCCAACTCCAGTTTCAGGATTAGTTCATTCTTCAACATTAGTAACTGCTGGTGTTTATTTGTTAATTCGATTTAATAAAGTTTTTCTATATTTAGAGGAGTATAGATAAAATTTTATTTTACCTTTCAGTTTTGACAATATTTATATCAGGTTTGATGGCTAATTTTGAAATTGATTAAAAAAAAAAATTATTGCTTTGTCCAGTTTAATTAGGTACCAATTTGATACAATTAATGACGTATCGTACACTAATCCTCATGTAGCTGTGTTTACGAGAAAATTCCCTGCCAATCGACGTTCCGTAAAACAACATCTTTAAAAAACAGCAATCTTTTACCGTGGAAAATCCACTCGGTTGCTTGCTTTTTTATCTACACCGCGTAACCCAGTTTTTTAATCATCTCGCCCGTATTATTCATATACAGAGACGGTAATGTTTGCAAATGTCCGGCATCGCCTTCCATCAACCCTGATGCTCACCCAATAGAATATTCATGCGAGTGAATATTCCGCGTCCGCCAGGCAAGCAGATAACACACCGACGCGACGGTAGTTTCAGCTACGGAACGGTAATGTCCAAGGACTATCCCGAGTTAGGATAACGACGTTACAGTTCCGTACAATACAAAGGAGCCCCCGTCCATCGGTAGGATATATATATAGATGATCATCCTGCTCTATCTCTCGAGCTAACTCGTAACGTTGCGAGAAACAAAAGGCGATTAGTAAACAATGTTTGGAGTGGAATCGATTAGAGGTTTTTCGCATCCAACGACAACGATGAGCGTGTGTCAGGTTCTCTTCCTCCTTCTCTATTACTTCCCTTCTTCTCTCCTTTTCGTCATTGTCGGTACGAGAAAGAGAGAAAGAACGAGGAAGAGAATACGACGAGAAGGCGGGTACGATCGAGATTATGCAAATTTATGCAAGAGCCCCCTGAACGAACGTAAAACCCGGAGACAACTACGTGATCTCCGAGCACTCAATTACCCGGAGCTAAGCGCGACGAGATAGATGGAGAGAGTCGTTAATTAACCATTTATCCGCGATTGCCGACGCTGGTACGGCGAATAAAAGATGAGATCGAAGAACACACATACAGAGGAAGAGATAAGAGGATAGAACAAGCGAGAAACCGTAACATCGGCAGAATGCCGCTGATCGTTCGGGTCGAGAGAGGAGGTCATCGATAGATGATCAACGTCAACTCGCTGCATTGGAAGACTCATTAGCTCGAAACACAAGGAGATACAAGTGAGAAAATATTAGCGATACGGAATGTCGGAATCGACTTATTTACTTGAATTTGTACACGGAACATAGTGAATTGTACGTATTCATATTTCTTTTTGTGGTAAATATTAATCAGAGAAACTCTTATAAGATTCTTCCTTATAAGAGAAAATTCTCTCCGTGTAGTTTTCAAATTTTTTTTTCAATTCTCACACGCAAATATTTTATTAATTACACTTTTTTAAAATGATTTAATCATTACAGCTCTATATTACTACTCTTAGCATCTAGTTACGCTACGCCATTTTGCTCCGCTAAATATGTAACGCACTCTGGAGAGCAATGTCCCATCTCAAGAGTGGCTATGCGAATATAATGAAATCTAATTTAGGATATTAATAATTTCTAACGTTTCAAAGGCGTGTCTACACGTGTAACGCTCGCTGGGATTACCACGAGGTCAATACGGGTTAAATGCGAAGGTCAATGTGGTCGCGGTGACGGATTCGGACAAGGCGGTACAGTTAGAGGCAACGGGGGCAAAAAAAAAAGAAGAAAGGGAGAGAAGATGAAAGGAGGAAAGATTTATTATGCTCGAATAAATTCATTTGAAACATAATGAGAAACCATAATTACTAATATATCAAAAAGGACTGCAAACTAGCAACTTGTATTCGCTTCATCTCTTGTTGATCTTTTTTTTTTTTGGAAAGCTTGTAATTTTTAAAAAATATTTTCTCAACAATTATGAAAAAAATACGCACGTATTATTATTATTATTATTATTTAAATGTAAAATAATACGCATAAGCAAACACAGAACCGCAAGTATCGCCTTTGAAATTCAAATACGCGAGCGACCACAAGTAGATTAGCAAATAATACGATATTAACAAAGAGAGAGAGAGAGAGAAAGACGAGGAGCAAAGGTGGGCGAAAGAAACAGAGGATGCTCAATAGGAATTCGTCGTGATTTACGATCGCTCGTAATAATCGCGATGAGGATTACGTAAGCGTCGGTCAGGCGTGTCGTTCGCGCCGGCATGTTCGAGGTCGTAAACCGGTTCGAGGCGGACCCTCTCCGGATGATGACGGTTATCATCGCTAGAATCGATGCGATCGGGATTTTGGAAGGAGGCATCTTTACGATGCCGCAGTTGTAACCCGCGATGATGCTCTATCAATCATCCCGCGGGCGTGATCGAGCGATCCGACTCCGAAAAAGTAGCTTTGACATAATCGCGGTTGAAGATTCTACACAGTCTTTAAATATATACGTAAATTTAATTTTTTTTTCTTAGAGAAATTTGTAGTTATATTTTTAGAATAAAGATCATCTCTTCTCACAACTTGCACTCTTACAAATTCCGATATATAATTTTATACAAATTAATTCCTCAATAATAATATAAATGCAAGAAAAAATTCATTAAAATTTCTTTCATTTAAATACCACGCTATGATTAAGCTGAATCTTCTAAAAATAAAATTTACGAGAAGCTAAATGCGAAGATTTGTTACTCTAACAATATATATAGTTGATATTTTTTTTTTATTAAAAACCGAATGAAAGACTTACCCGTCAACGCTGCCGTGATCCCTTATAATAGCCGCTGCGACATCCCTCTTGAGACCACCGTGAAACCAAGGTTGAAGGACATGTATACCACTGTCGAGTCCATGCAGCCTCATCATAGCGCAGCCGGGTGGTGTGCGCGAGAACGGTCGCCATCTCCGTCGCCAAACCATACCCTCATTCTCAGCTATGTCCTTGGCTTCCTTAGGATCCTCGACTATTCTGCCCACGCTACCCGTAAAATCCATCGCCACGCGAGATCGTATCGACTCCTGCAAAGAGAAAGGATCGACCGTTTATAAATATTCGTCTCGGAAATTAAAGCTTGAATTGTGGCAAGCTTTCCCTTACATGTCCATTTAAAAAAAAATATATATATAATTCTTTCGGAGAATATTTTATTCGTTATAAAATAATGTTCCGGTCAAAATGCGATATCGACTCCTGCAAAGAGAAAGGATCGACCGTTTATAAATTCGTCTCGGAAATTTAAGCTTGATATAAGCTTCCCCTTATACATGTTCGTTTAAAGAAAAAGAATTATTATTATTCTTTCGGAGAATATTTCATCGTTATATAATAATGTTCCGGTGAAAATGCGATACTATATACTTAAATTTCGACGTGCTCAATGATCCTAGGATAAATACGTCCGTCAATAACTCAAGTATAAGTGCGAGTTTGAGCATTTCGACATTTATTTCTGGCAAAAGCGGAAGCCCGTCCTTTACGGACTGGTGTGACACGAAGGGAGACCCGTTTCCGGGCTGCCATGCTTTTATTTGGAATTAGAAACGCGGATAGTTTTCAGTCCGGTAAATAACTCGTCTTGCAAAAGGAAGGGAGAGAAAAAAGTGAATTCTCTCTTCCTGTTTCCTTCTCTTTCTCGGTGACCCACGATGAACAAACTGCGCCTCACAAATCTCTCGTAAAATTATGGTTCGGATGCGATACACCGGTAAAAATCGCAGACGATAACTCATAGCAGCCCGTGTTCCGGCAATAATTTTATCCGTAGTTCTTCCCGCAAATCGCGACTTAGCCATCGACGATAAAAAAACGTCGAATTAAGCCTCGAGATATCATCAGCGAGAGATGATCGACACAACTCGAATAGAGTATTATTAATTTAAAACACCTTAATTTTCAGTATAATTCTGACGGATTGTAGACGCTTATAATCCACAATCTCACGAATCTATCCTAAAATCATCCTTATCAAATTCACAGTTTAAGTATTAGAAATTGTGATTGCCAAACAAGCACCTGCAAAACACCTGGTTCAACATTACCTAAGAGCGATCAATATTTCAAATAAATTCGAGATATATTTGAAAGACCGATATTTTCCCGAAGGATAATTTGAACCATCATACGAGTAAACCTCTGGCTCTTTAGGTTTCTGATAACGAGCAAAAAATCGAAGCGCACGTGGTGGATTAGTCGGTTGTTAAAATAAATAGACGCTCGCGGCACGAGTATACGTTCTGGGGAGAGAAGTACGGGAAAGAGAAAGAGCTCGGGGGTTCCTCATCAGCGAATTATCGTGGAGCGAGAATTCGAGGGTGCTTTCGGGAACCAGGAAAGCCGGTGCGATCGATGTGTTCAACTAGGCTCTTTCCTCTTAGTTTCGTTTACTTCCCTCTTGCTCTCTGGAGAGAGAACAGGAAGATTCTCATCATAGGCTTTCGTCCTGGCGTGGCCTTGATATCGCCCGATGTTTCGACGATTTAGAAACGATTCTCTGGCATAAGATATGGTACTCTATATTTGTGTGAAAAATATCTCTTCTTCGTTATTTATTTATTTTATTTTTTTACGATAATTGCGCTAATTGATTAAAAGAAAATTTTGTATATAAAAAGGCTAACTAATCGAGCATTATTAGATGATTTAAACTAAGTATTTATTCTATATAAGATAATACAGTACAAACGTTTCGACCGCACGCGGTCTTCTTCAGTGTAGGAATTAAAAAGTAGATGATCATAGGTGATTGTAAGTTGCAATTTTATCGCCGAATTAATGCATGTCGTGTTGAGTCAAATTACAAAACGTCAGTATATTTCTTACGGATTGATCGCTCTATTGAGATGTTTGGCCGATCTCATAGATTTCATCGTTAGTATGCGAGAAATTATTGTTTTTTTTTTATATTTTATATTTTTATATTTTACTTTTATATTTTTTTATTTTTATACTACTCATAGTGAGATATAATAAATTAATAATGTGTCAAAATATAAAAATTGATCTGTGCGCTTACTTGTAATGTTTGTCGCTTCCCAACTAGATCGTACCACCAACGTAACATGACCTCTCATTTTCAAATGTACTCATTTTGTAATTATGTGTGTTTATATAGTTTGAGTGTGTTTAGAATTTTAACGATCTGTTTTTCTTGTGTGTGTTTTTTTTTATTATTATTACACGTTTGCCAATTTTTCCAATATATCAAAATAAGATTTCGCTAAGCAACTCGGTATCTCTATTTAGATTTAATTTAATTAGTTTCACTGTCTAAAATTTCAACGTTATCCCAATCGAAGGAATGATGTTCATTTGATATGTGATCAGAGATTACCGAATCTAACTTTATGTTGTTAACGCGTTCTTTCATTCTAGTCTGCAATTTTCTATATCAATTCTCCTCAGTGATAAATTGTTTATTTTTCGCCAAGTATGTAGACATTTTTAAAAATGTATCGTCTATATTTTATATTTTTCAATTATCAATTCTTCTCAGACAGAATTTCATTCTACAGCGTGATAAAATATGGCCGTTCGTTTGCATTAAAGAGTAAGATAAAAAAAGAAGTGAAGATATCATAAATACAACGAGAAATTAATAACAGCGCGAGAGAATTTCCGCAGGCAAATTGATTTTTAAACGATGCATCGAGCGATATCAGGGCGAGCGTTTAGCGACTTGACGAGCGCAGCCGAGACCAATCTAAGTCCGGCCACGTGTATATAATATTTTAAGGGATGTCCGATGAGCGAAGTTAACACGCTGCGGGCTTCCCGGTTTCGAGCGAGTTTACAACTTCCGGCCTAACTTGGTCGGTTTGAACATACACAGGGAAAGGAGCGCGTTTGAGAAAGTGAGAGCAAGAGAGAGAGGGAGCTTTTCCGCTTGGCCAGGCTTCCTCATCGTGTTTTATCGTTATTACAAGCTCCTTCGAAGTTTACGACTCTGTGCGGCGGATAACGTTCTCCTTCTCTTTTTCCCTCATCAACCCTCTCGTCGTTCGATCAACTTCCACCCCGGTTCGTGAAGCGCTAGCCGTCGGAAATGACACGTCCAGGTTGCACCATCCTCGCCTTCTCATAAAGAAATTTCGTTACGTCGTTTATGGAAAGTCAACGTCGTAATTTTACATCCAAGGGACGTAATAATCGTCGTTAATAAACGTTACAGCTCTCTTCGCGCAGCTAGATTTTAACATCTCGGTAATTAAGCCGAGTTTGATGCCTCGAAAATTCGATTGAAATCCACCGCGCGAAGCTCTTTATATCAATATTTTCTGTTTATAAAAAATATCTCCCGTTGTCAGCGTATAAAGCTACGTGGTAATATTTTTTTTTTATTTTTCCTCGCAGAGTCTCGTCATTAAAAATAAATACAATCGCCTATTATGATATAAAACAATGCGGATATAATTTTATAAAATTCACCAAACATGATCGGCAAATCGTTAAGTATACACATCACTTTACTGGATTTCTCCATTTCGACATCATATTCGAGATTACTGTTTTTTTTTTTCTGACATTTCGCTATCTCGCGAAATCGCCAGCGTTTCGCGCGTAAACATTCTTATATCCGCGTATCACCCCATCGCATTATTTCGCTTTACGACATTTTAAATTGTCGCTGATATAACGGTGATATTATGAAATTGCGAGGTACGGTATCGTCAACAACAACGACGTACGCGTTGCATGCGTATATATATATATATATATATATATATATATATATATACCTACATATATATACAATACGCGTCATATATATACAACATATATATACAACACCAGCGATTGGATTTCCCTTCGTCCTCTTCCTTTCCCGCGGCATTTCGCGACTCCCTCGTTATCGTGAATACCTAACGTTGTTTTACGACCGATAAAAGCATCCCTCCCTTGTCTGCCGGTAGCGTATCATTTTACCCGAGGCTGGTTGCCGCGTATAGTGTCTGTCGAATATACTATGTGTACGTGAGAAATCATCGAATTCGCGAATAAAATACATTTCTCCGCGAATATGTGCCACGCAGACATTCGCGCACGAACGACGCATGCATTACGTGATTTAATCAAAATAATATTCGACACATCTGCCTGAAATTTATTGCAACTAATAATAATTTTGGCATAGAATTTTTAATTCGCTGCACGGTAAAAAAATATTGTGAGATAGTAATTAATTTTTTACGTGAAATATATTTGATTAATTTTTTTCTATCGTTACTAGCGTCCCCAGTCTCTAAGACGATAAATCGTATGATTAGCAGACGAACCTGTATTATTTTTAACTTGATCACTATTACACGAGAGACAACTCGCTAGTCGCCGGTTAAAAACGCATCAACCGATCAATAGTCACTCTTTCCGCGTGTTACTGGGTTACTATCTCGTCTCGTGAGCGAGCGATAGCATAATGCGCCGAGAGATCGCTCTCGCGAACAGTTGGAATGAAGAGAAAATAGGACATGCGATTAAATTCCAAGAATTTAATCAGCTAAATAAAAATTTGCTTTATCTGGACATTTAATTTTATAAAATTATATCGCATTGTTTTTTTATAACAACTCTGCGAAGAAAAGTAAAAAAATGTGTTACCACGTAGCTTTATATGCTAATAATAATGGATGTGGAGTTTACGGGAGATATTTGTTATAAACAGAAAATATTTATACAGAGCGTCGAAGATGCATTTAAATTGCATTTCGATCAAAAATGTTTCGAACATAAAATAAATGTCGTTTATGCGCGTGGCAATAAATAATCAGACGGAAAACGATCCTCGTCGGGCTTCCGTGAGTTCCAACTCGCGGGGGTCAACCACGGTCGAAGTAAAGAAAAGAGGGAGAAAGTGGGAGAAGTTGCACCTGGAGACTCGCGGCTACTGCGATCGACCCGACTCACGCGGTATCGATTCCAGGTGACCAGACCCTATCGCTATCGGCCACGTGGGCGCACGTCGGTCCCACGTGACCAAAGAGATAAAAAGGATTCCTTCAAAACGGGCGCGCGCAAGAAATTT